TGTCTCTAATCGAGTATTTATATGACCATGGTTATATATACCGAAAACCGGTATACTTTCTATTTCTAGATTCTGTAGTGGTATGTCCATACGAAACTACACCCTCATCCTCACCGTCCTAGATATTTTTCTCTAATCAAGTATTTATATGACCATGGTTATATATACCGAAAACCGGTATACTTTCTATTTCTAGATTCTGCAGTGGTATGTCCATACGAAACTACACCCTCATGCTCACCTAGATATATGTCTCTAATCGAGTATTTACATGCTCATGGTTATATATACCAAAAATCGGTATACTTTCTATTTCTAGATTCTGCAGTGGTATGGCCATACTAAACAAAACACTCGTGCATGCTCACCGAGATATATGTCTCTAATCGAGTATTTATATGACCATGGTTATATATACCAGTTTTCACTATATATAACCATGGTCATAGAAAAATCTGATTAGAGACATATATCTAGATGAGCGTGAGTGTGTGGTTTAGACCGTTTAGTACGTATGCCCATACCACTACAGAATCTAGAAATAGAAAGTATACCGGTTTTCGGTATGTATAACAATGGTCATATAAATACTTGATTAGAGACATATAGCTAGGTGAGCATGAGGCTATAGTTTAGTATGCGCATACCACTACAGAATCTAGAAATAGAAAGTATACCGGTTTTCGGTATATATAACCATGGTCATATAAATAATTGATTAGAGACATATATCTAGGTGAGCATGAGGGTATAGTTTAGTATGCTCATACCACTGCAGAATCTAGAAATAGAAAGTATACCGATTTTCGGTATATATAACCATGGTCGTATAAATACTTGATTAGAGACAAATATCTCGGTGAGCATGAGGGTGTAGTTTAGTATGGGCATTCCACTGCAGAATCTAGAAATAGAAAGTATACCGGTTTTCGGTATGTATAACTATGGTCATATAAATACTTGATTAGAGACAAATATCTCGGTGAGGATGAGGGTGTAGTTTCGTATGGACATACCAATACAGAATTTAGAAATAGAAAGTATACCGGTTTTCGGTATATATAACCATGGTCGTATAAATACTTGATTAGAGACAAATATCTCGGTGAGCATGAGGGTGTAGTTTAGTATGGGCATTCCACTGCAGAATCTAGAAATAGAAAGTATACCGATTTTCGGTATGTATAACTATGGTCATATAAATACTTGATTAGAGACAAATATCTCGGTGAGCATGAGGGTTTAGTTTCGTATGGGCATACCACTACAGAATCTAGAAATAGAAAGTATACCGGTTTTCGGTATATATAACCATGGTGATACAAAAACCTGATTAGAGAGAAGTATTTGGGTAAGAGGGTTGCAGTAATATAACCATGGTCGTATAAAAATTTATTACAGACAAATATCTCGGTGAGTATGAGAGTATAGTTTCGTATGGACATACCACTACAGAATCTAGAAATAGAAAGTATACCGGTTTTCGGTATGTATAACCATGGTCATATAAATACTTGATTAGAGACAAATATCTCGGTGAGGATGAGGGTGTAGTTTCGTATGGACATATCACTACAGAATCTAGAAATAGAAAGTATACCGGTTTTCGGTATGTATAACTATGGTCATATAAATACTTGATTAGAGACAAATATCTCGGTGAGGATGAGGGTGTAGTTTCGTATGGACATACCACTACAGAATCTAGAAATAGAGTGTATACCGGTTTTCGGTATGTATAACCATGGTCGTATAAATACTGGATTAGAGACAAATATCTAGGTGAGGATGAGGGTGTAGTTTCGTATGGACATACCACTACAGAATCTAGAAATAGAAAGTATACCGGTTTTCGGTATGTATAACCATGGTCGTATAAATATTTGGTTAAAGACATATATCTAGGTGAGCATGAGGTGTAGTTTGGTGTGGACATACCACTACAGAGTCTAGAAATAGAAAGTATACCGGTTTTCGGTATGTATAACCACGGTCATATAAATGCGTGATTAGAGATATACAGTATATCTCGGTGAGCATGAGGGTTTAGTGTAGCATTGGCATACCGTTACAGAATCGAGAAATAGAAAGTATACCGGTTTTCGGTACATATAACCATGATCGTATCAAAATTTATTACAGGCAAATATCTCGTTGAGCATGACGGTGTAATTTAGTGCACTCAGTCGCCAAATTCACACACCTGAAGGCGTGTTTTTTTAGACAGATGAAGGTGCGTATTTTCCGAAAAAGGTAGGTATTTTTGCACACCTAAAGGTGTGTATTTGCAAGATAAAGCGGTGTTTTTTTCGTTTTTTTGCTTGTCGCCAAATTCACACATCTTAAGGCATGTTTTTCAAAAAGGTGTGTATTTTTACACACCATAAGCTGTGTATTTTGCCCTGGATCTCTGGCGAACAAATTACACACCTAAAGGCGTGCTTTTCTACACACCTTGCAAGGTGTGGAAAATAACACGCCTTTTCGCTTGCTACACAGCTTGAAAATACACATCTTGGAAGGTGTGCAAAATTACACCTTTGTTCAGCTTGGTCTCAGATCACAGATGTAATTGGAATAAAAAAATAAACAAAAGAGCGCCAATTTAATAGTATTCACAATTTTAATAATAGCTAAAATTATTAAATATTTACAATATATAAGCTAGGACTACAATCATGCAACCATGAATACACCTGTATGCAAATTAAGATAACATTTTTTAAAATTAACCTCTGCCAACAATACAACTCTGATTGACACAATCCAGATAAGTCATAACTAAGTGGATAGCCTCGAAAACATAATGGCATGCAATGACATACGCTGAGCATCTGATAGTTCATTATTGGTTGACATCATCTTTCATTCCTCACAACATCAACTGGAATTCTACAGTTTGGAACCAAAACGGTTTTCTCGTTTGTGTTGATGGCTAATAAATATTAAAAACAAAATTTGAAACATGAAACGAATATTGTTATCAGGATTTAGGGCATCTCACTCGATAGAACTAAGTGTTGAAGGTTTTTTATAGATGAAATTTCGAGAATCAGGCAATTAAGCCATGCTAGCTAAAGATTCTTGTTGTAGAGCCCTAGCTGCAAGGTCATGGGCCACAGGTCCATTCCTGCCAGAGCCTGGCCCATAGTTGCACTTTTTGCAACTGCTCCTGGATAAACATATAAAATTTATACTCAAAATTTGCATGTACCAAAGTACAGCTTAGAGCACTGCACTGGAATTGCATTCACAGGGCCACATGTCTGTTTCCTAGAGGGCCTACAGTTTTGCAAATACTCCTGGTTAGGTCTAATAAATGTATAAAATGTACACTCAACATTTCCATCTACATAAACCTACAATAATCCATTAATTTTATAACCTGTTAAGTAAGTAAGTGAGTAATTGGGGGTGTACTAGGAATGGAGTTAGGATCTAATCATCCTTACTTGCATGTACTAGGTACTAATCATGCTTACTTGCAGCTGAGAGCTGAATTGCGAAGGACGCAGCTCAACCTGAGCGATAGATAGATAGATATTTTATTAAAAGCCACTTTGCAGCCACTTTGGCTGAATTACGTAGATTTTTACAATAGTATATAAATTTAAATATTAGACATGTTAGCCTACTAAATTATTATAATATATCATAGATGGCACAAAAGTGTTCCTGAAGCGGTTAGTGTTAGTCATTGGAAGAGCATAGAGGCGTTTGTGTCTTAAGTTATATTTCGCTTGGTGTTTTGGCGGCAGCAGTGCATGGAGTTTATGGTCACTGTCAGTTGATATTTTAAGGAAAAGCTTTTCACACAGTGTTTGTCTTCGGACCGATAAGGAGTTTAGTCCAGATTGCTGCAGGCTCTCTGAATATGGCTGCCCTCTGTAAATTATAGCCAAGGATCGTTTTTGTACTCGCTCAAGATCGTCAGACAAGTACTTTGGTAAAGAGTGGTGGAATACCGGTGATGCGTATTCGAGAGTGGGTCTAATACAGGTACAATAAAAGTTAACAATATCTGCCTCAGGAACATTTGCACGTTTGAGTTGGACCAGACAATACAGACGTTTGTTCGCTTTCTTGATGACATGGTCGACATGGAGGTTCCATTGTAATGATTTTGAGACTATCAGGCCCAGGATTTTTGCGTGGTCCACTATTTTGAGTGGAACGTTGTCTACTTTAATTGGGTCAAACTCCTGATGAACACGCTTAAAGTCGATCCTCAGCTCCTTGCATTTTTCTGCGTTCAAGTGCAGTTTGTTGTCTGCAGACCATTTCTCAACAGACGTGGTAGCGGATTGAGTGTGGGTAAGGGAATTCTTTGGAATGATTTCCGAAATTGTCGTGTCGTCAACAAACTTCCACGTACTGACGCTGTTCACACGTAGGTCATTCACCATTAGAAGAAATAGCCAGGGGCCTAACTTGGTGCCTTGGGGTACTCCTGAGGGGACGTGTCTCCATGACGAAAGGGCGTCAGCAAGCTTCACTCTTTGGTATCTGTTGGACAAAAAGTCGGTTATCCAGGAGCATACCTTTCGGGGTAATGACGTCAGGTTTTGAAGTTTTTTAATTAGGATGGAATGGTCAACTAGGTCAAATGCCTTTCTATAATCAAAAAGAGTTACTCTAACTGTTGCGCCAGATTTGTCTGTAGCTTGGGACCATTCGTGGATCATTGAGATCAGGGCAAGCACTGAAGAGGACTTTGGTATGGCCCCGTACTGATCCGGATCTAATGTATTCATTATAGCAGGCGCTATGTACTTTGTGATCACAAATTCTTCTGCAACTTTAGAGATTGATGGCGTCAAGGAGATCGGTCGCAAATGTTTGTTGACATCAGTGGCTGGTTTTACCTTCGGGACTGGGATGATGTCAGCATGTTTCCACATTGACGGTAATCTCTGTTCATCAAAAGAAGAATTGATAATATTACAGACTGGTTTTGCGAGTATCTCGGCATACGTTTTACACAACCAGTTTGGGATACCATCAGGCCCGCTAGCTTTTCGAGGATTAATTCTCCTAAGTAGGTTATATGTATCTAGTTCTGTCAATTCAAAAGTCTCTAGGTCTGGACCAAACTCACCATTGTTGAATGGGTTGCTAGACAGAGGTTTATATTCACGCATGGGTGGTAAGAAGGACTCGTTTATTCTGTTTGCAATTTCCTCTGGGTTACCTTTATAATCATGTTCATTAAATTTTAGCTGCGTAAAACTGTTTACGTTGCTACTGTTGGGCTGCATACCTGAAATACGCTTCAGTTCACGCCACCAAACAGACGGTTTGGCACCCTTTAGATGGATTACTTTCGTGGAAAAGTAGTTGTCACGTAAACGCTTTCTCTCTCGGTTTACAAGGTTTCTGTAGTGACGAAATTCTGACATTTTTTTCTGAGCGAAAGCTTCCTGTCGGCGTTTAATCAGGGTGATAAATTCAGGTGTTATCCAAGGTTGATTGTTGGTGTGTAATTTTGTTTTCTTTAGTGGCATTATTATATCCAGTCCAGTTTTAATTAAGTCCTCAAATAATTGTTCTTTCCTATTGCACGACTTAATATCGTTGAGTATGTCCCAGTTTAGGGAGCTAAGGTACCGTCCCAATTCTTGTTTCCGAATTTCCCTTGTGTCGCGTTTCCAAAAAACTTTTTTCCTATCCCGAGATGAAAACAGCCGCCTTTCTTTCGGATTTAACAGTAAAACATTGTGGTCGGATAGGCCGAACGGAGGGAAGGATGAAAGGGAGTTTTTGTCATAGTATTTATTGAGATTGGTGAGGATAAGGTCTAGTGTTTGATCGCCTCTTGTGTGTAGATGAACAAGTTGTTTCATTCGGAACTGACGAGACAGTCTGCTTACATTGAGACGGTTAAAGTCGCCAGCTAAAATTATTCCACACCCAGGATAATGACCTTCTATGTCCGTAAGAGACTTTGCAAGGTATTCTAACATCATGTTATTGTCCGAACTTGGGGGATGATATAAGGTACCAGTAATTATACATGGGAATCCTCGAGGAAGTCTGGTTGGTCTAATTTTAACCCAAAGAACTTCAGTTTCGGCGTTGTGAAAGTGATCTAAAATTTCGTAACTGATCGAGTTCCTCAAGTATAAACAAACGCCACCGTGACTACCAGAGGATCGGTTTTTACAAACAACGTTATATTCGGGAATATTGATATGGCTTTTATCGATAGCATTTGTAAGCCAGGTCTCTGTGATAAATACTACATCGGGATTTTTGTTCAGAAGGAAAAGACTGACTTCGTCGATTTGGGGAGCAAGAGACATCACATTGGTTAACATTAGGCTTGGGACAAACTCTTTAGACGGTGTCTCTTTCAATAGTCGCGAATCGGTTGAGGTTTCTCCAGCAGGGATTGGGAAAATGTTACATGTATTAGGCACGCTATTAATATGATGCGAAGATATGCTAATTTTGCGTTTGTTATTGTGACCATGAACGTGATTATAGTTCCGTGTCATATTGCGTATTTTAACTTTTCTTCCACTGCGGCGACCGCGGAAAGGTTTTAAAATGCCAAGGGTACGAATGTAATTATATATATTGTGGTCTATATGCTTCGACAAAGGCGAAAGGCGGAAGGAACGAAGAAATGATGGTTTGTAAACGTGAGTTAAGGCGATATGAGAGTTCGGCGTCGTGGGCTGTGATAAACGCTGGTTTGATGTTACATTCGAAACGCTGTCGTTTGACTTCACAGGGCCAGGATTTGGTGATATATCAGCGCATATAGTCAAGTCCTCTTTGAAAGGTTTCCTTGGCAGTACGAGACTTGTGGATCCGTCCTTCGTACACTTGGTAATAGCTCGCGCGATTTTGAATTTCGATTCAAGACTTGACCGCAATATTACTATATGCGATCTCACTGGCAAAATGAGTTCATATCTTTCTGAAAATGATCCATCCATTGACAATCCAGTCCAATCCTTCAACATTGTGTTTTTAGGAAGTGCTCTGTGTACTTTAGGCTCATAAGCATGCGTTAAAAGTATAAAAACATTTGAAATAATGAGCAGCTTCAAGATTCTGTTGGCAGCCATGTTGGCGCACATAAGTGTTATCCTATGATCGAGTCATAACATAAGTGTTATCATATGATCGAGTCAAAGGCTCACTAAGGGCACTCTGGCAGCCACCTTATGACTGATGTCTGGTCATGGTGCACAGGTATGGTGGAAGTGTCAGTTAGGGGCTAATCCCAACCCACTCTGTCAACATTCCCTGTGGTAGGAAACCAGACGTTTGGTAGAGTGTTGACTAACTCTTTTCACATAAGTGTCTTTAGTCCAATGTGAGGACAATCTCAGAGGTGAATAATGCTTGCTCTGACGATTGCACCACCAAAGCCCCTAAAGCAGTGAACTTTATACAGATTTGGGGTTTCATACAGCAGGGGCTAATAAAAGGGAAGCATTTATATATAGGGAATTCTCTTATATTGTAGCAACTAAATCCTCCCCCCCCCTGAACCACTACACTACAAATAACATAACAAAGTGTACAAGCTCTCTAGCTAGGGATGGATTGATGCGGGCGGCACACATGACTGACACAACTCGGCACCAGAGCATGCAGAGGACCCCCATTCTTGAGGTAGAACAAGGAATAATATCATTAATTTAATTAATCACGATGAGTTACAACGGCAGCTAACACATGTCAATACTGGACCTGGAATTATGCCGTAATAATTTGTTTACTTAACTATTTTGATTCTTAATTTCAAAGATATCTAAGATTTCAGTTTGATAATCAGTGTATTGGTTTCAGTTATTTCTCAAACCAGTTCAGCCTATATCGATCTGACCTGACACAAGACAATACGCATCTAACTACATAGAAGTGATAGAATTACATATGATATTACTTACAGATTTTACTTGATTATAATTATGTGAAGTTCAGCTAACACCTAAAAACAAAAATAGAAAAAAACTATTGAATAAAGTTTCCTGGACAGATTTTTGAGAGAGGAAAAATTTCTGAAAATCATTGCAAAAAATGCAACTACAGTATTAGTGTGCAATCCAAAGTGCAGCACTTTTACAATCAGATCCCACATGCCAAGTGCTAACCTCCAGAACAATACTGAAAACATTTATTTTTAAAGCATATATAATTATATATCATATCTGTATAGGATTTTGTTTATGTAAACAGTTACATTCCTGGGGCCAGTTGTCCAAAGCTGGATTAGCGCTAATCTTGGGTTAAAATTTAACCTGCTGTACGTCACCGCTGTTTTAGTTTTTCTGTTTCAAAACTTCAAAGAAGCAAACTCCTATACTGATCCAGACAAGATTTCTAAAGAAATATTTCCAAATTTATAAACAAGCTGTCAGGAAGTTTGCTTTGAATTTTAGGTTAACTTAGGGTTGAGTTAATCCAGCTTTGAACAACTGGCCTCTGATGAGTATTTGATGTATTAACATCATCAAGAGTGCAATGCAATATTGGATGTCAGTAATTTGGTAAAAAGCAATTTCTAGGGAAAGTACTTAGATGAAGAAAACTTTCGTTAGTAGGAATGCAACTATTTGAAAAATATAAGGAGAAACTCGACGTTTTGAGCGAAGGCCATTTGTCACCTTCGACTAACTGCGCGCTAACGAAGGGCCTTCGCATGAAACGTTGAGTTTCTTCTAATATTTTTCAGGTAATTCCATTCATACCAACGAAAATTACTTTGTCTATATTAATTGACACTACCTACACTGCACAGACAGTCAAATATTGAGTCTGATGAATTATCCGATGAGTATTAAAAATTAAAAAATTGGCAGAGGAAACATGTTTTGGGGCTAGTAGGCAGACCCCTGGGCACAAGGCAATTAGTTTTAGCTTATTGGTTAAAAATATTGGTCAATAGTATAGCCATGGAATAGTGCTATAATAGTAGTAACGGTCCCCTGCCCTGGATTCCAGAGCCTTCGACAGTAAATAATAAATTGCAACGTCGCGAAGGCTCCGGGTTCAACGGGGAGATTCTTTGATTAAACCGCGCCAATCACAAAACAGAATTAGTGGTTTTAGTGCAGATTGAAACGTCGCGAAGGCTCTGGTTCAACGGGGAGATTCTTTGATTCAACCGTGCCAATCACAAAACAGAATTAGTGGTTTTAGTACAGATTCTCCACTAAAACCACGAAATCTGTTTTGTGATTGGCGAGGCTTAATCAAAGAATCGCCCTGTTGAACCAGAGCCTACGCGACATTTCAATTTATTATTTACGAAGGCTCTGGAATCCTGGGTATAGTAACGGCAAATGATAAATAATTAGATGATTTATATCATAGTTATATGTAGAGATAGAGGCTATTTAGTTTATTTTTGCCTTTAAAAAATACAAACATTGGCAATGGGTTGGGAAAAGTATTTGCAAATGTCTGATGTAAACTCAATTGGATTTAGTTAGGTCAAAATGCATCTATGTCTTGCACTAAGAAATACAATAACATACTCAGTTCACACAAACAAATGGTATCCCTATCCCTTCAAAGCAAGTTACAGTACTAAGGGAGTGGTCTTTATTTATGGGGAGGAGGGGGGGAGGGAATGGGAGGGGGGCAAACGAAGTTTTACCCTTATAAATAGGGGGGTTAAAAAAGTTTTAACACAGAGAAAGGGGGGGTCATAAAAGTTTTGGAACTTAAATACCATGTCTAGAGTTCTGATTTCTATAATCACAAATACCAAAAAGGAAGACTTTGAAAATGCTATTTCCAACGATCTAGAGACTCAAAATTTTCAAAATTTCCCTGGTCGGTGCCAACCATGGTTGCGCCTCGCAATCGTGGGAGTTGGGCCCACTACGTTTAACAAGCTTTCTACCCCCTGAGTGACCCAGTTGTGGTATTTACATAAACATACCATGCAAGTACACTTCACTGATCAGATTCGGTCTATCAACGCACAATGTAACGCTGTATATCCAAAAATCTGTTTCAGAAAATGCTCACATTTCAGTTCTAGGGGTGGAAAACTACAAAAAATTTTCTGGGGGAGAATTCCCCCAGACCCCCTTACTAGTACATACAATATCACACCAAACTTTTTCTCACCAACAACCATCTGTCATCTCTCCACACTCAATATAGTATGGTCCCTTTTTGTAGATGCCCACCCCCCAGACAAAGTCTTAAAAAACCCTGTGTTCAAGTCATTTCGCTGTATGAAGACAGGTCATGGGTTAGGGTAGGACAAATGTTGCATTGTAAAGTAGTAACACATAATATATATTTTTAATCACATATGGTTGAATCGTATTCACCAGGGTAAAGTATCATGAGCTAGATTAAACAGATTGTCCTAATATCTAACTTTACCTGCAACACACACCTGTTTCATTGCTGTTAATTTTTCAATCCACGCTGGGGGGGTCAGAAAAGTTTCTACTTTTATGAGGGGGGAGGCACAAAAAGTTTGCCTTCAGTCTGGAGGGGGGGGGTCAAAAAAGTTTTCAATTCTTCTTTTCCCCATTCCCCCCCCCTCCCCATAAATAATGACCACTCCCTAATCTCTATAAAAGTAGGTGTTCAAGGTTCATGTAAAATATATTCATTCATTAATTTGCAACTCTCTCTGTGTAGATTTTACTTTGTCTGGTATCAGGCAAAGTAAAATATTAAAGTATGGTGCATTTGTCCATTAACATGAGCCCAGCTAGGCAGAATGAGATGTATGCCAGGCAAAAACATCAGCAACCAATATTACATTGGTGGGAAAACTTTACTTGTTTACAAGCTATAAATAGCTGAAGGTTTTCAACAAAGTCAAATTCATGCTTTATTTATTTGACAAATTTTTAATTTAAAATTATTGCATCAGCAAGATTAACTAAAATAAAATTTTGTTAATATATATATATTGTTAATATAAATTACAGTAGTTACTGTACCTGTCTCTGCAAGTTAAAAATATCCTGAGAAACACATTCTTTTTCTGTTCATTTCTTTCTGTTCATTATCATCATTTAGGTCCTATAAAACAAATTCATGAAAGTTTTTTGTTGTTGCAATAGTATCATAATTATAACTACAGCACCATTTCTTATTTAGAATACACTTACAGTACTTGTCAAAGCAAAATTTATATGTGGATATATGGGTGTCGTAAGCATACAAGACGGGGCTGGGGCTGCAGACCCCAAGACTTGATGAATCGTCAATTTTTTTAAGGAAATTTGGGCAATATACTTGTATCTCTTTTTTCTGGCACAGACTTCAGACAATGAGACTACAGTATACATATGCTATTATCCTATGCTATTGGCACAACCAGGGGCGAAATTGGCACAACCAGGGGCTGTTTAGTTGAGGGGGGGGAGGGGTGTTTGGCATAATTGTCCTGCAAAAATCTATTATGCCTGCAATTTTGTTGCCTTGCAAGATCCTTAATTGCCCTGCCAATCGGAGTAATTCATATATTAGGGGGGGGAGGGTGAAATCAATAATTGTTTTATTTATTTATTTAAATGATAAAACAGTAGCCGGTTGTAGAACAAATTTATGCACGTTGCTCTTCACACCTTCCACAGTCGGTACGTCATTGTCGTCATCACCCCTCCATATAATTGCTATTGAATTGATGACAAATTCGCTTACGGCTATCAGCCAATCAAAACAATGAATTCGATTGAATAAATTATGCAATTTGCAGTTGAGCTTAGATCGGCAAAGTTTTTCCGTTTAGAGAGCAACATTTGTGATGTAATCTGAGCATGTTGTCTAAGCACTTTCGACCAATCATAGCGAACAGATTCAAATTCCTTTGCTGTGATTGGTGGAAAATCCTTAAATCTCTCATGAAACATTCTCATTTTCGCTAGACAACATTGGAATTTGTCTTTGGTAACTTGTAAGTTTCAACGATTAAACTATCTAGCTAAACTTCCTGTCTCTAAGCTCAACAGAAAATCGCAGTAAGGCCAATGAAAATTGATATCATGTTTCTCGTCCCTGCCCACATGGGATATTTATCTGCCCCACGAAAATTTTTCATTCATTATTTTTGAAAAATAGGCTTAACAAAACACCAAATTGATCTCCAGATCAAAGTCTTATTGCTGCATTCCGCAAGCGCAACTCAAATTGTATCTTTCTAAAGGTATTACTCGCCAGAGTGCTTCTATTTTTCATGTCAGCCCTGGTATGTGTAGAAATATACTGTAGTGTAGGACGTATTAAATTAAAATTAATTATACACCGATATACTTCAGATTTTTATGGGGGTTTTTACTGGGTCAAGGAAATTATTGACAAGCAGAATTCAAATACAAAAAATAATGAAAAAAATCCCGCTCCAAATTTTTGAAAATTGTGGACGAGAAACATGATATCAATTTTCATTGGCCTAATAATAAAATATATCAACAATACAAAAATTTTCATCCCGATTCTTTGGTTGGAAACTTCCTTTTATGATCAACACTAGATTTTGTAAAGTAACAAAAGTTGTTTGAACTTCTTTCCAAATCTATATGACTATCAGACTATATATTAAATATACTAAAGACCACGAGGATGAAAGACTTTTATATGTATAGGTAATAGCATGGTTTCGAGTGCAATTTGGATATAACATGCACGAGTGAGTTTTTCAAAGACCTCAAAATAGCACGAGTCCGAAGGACGAGTGCTATTTGAGGTCTTTGAAAAACTCACGAGTACATGTTTATCCAAATTGCACGAGAAACCATGCTATTACTTGTTAATAATATGCATAAAAGTATTCGAGACAATCAAATTTGAACTTGACATTTATTAATAAACAAAGAACAAATATATTAGCTACACGTCAAAAATCAAAATGCATGCATAAACTAGGCAAAACAAAACAAAACAAAACACTTTGTTGGTACAAAGCACTTACTTGTTCGTGTCCGGGTAATTTTTAAGCGCATAACTATGTATAACAATATACTAGAAGTTACTATCGCAAGGAAAATGCTGCCTCACCCCCAAGGGATGGCACCATGCGTAATTTGCTGAATAAGGGTCTGTTTATACGATCCCGCTTCGCCAGGACGAGATATGAGGCAGGATGATTTCGATGTATTGAAATGAGTCACAGTGCACAATTCAGCAAAAACATTACTTTTCTAGAGATAGATTATAGTTACTGTAAACGAAAGGTTGTTCAAGCAGCAATTATAATCTTTTTGAACTACAAGATCTTGTCTACAATATTTGAGTTCTGTTAACAAGCATTTGAACTTTTGTTTAGCCTAGTGACTTATTCCAATACATCAAAAATCATCCCAACTTCCATCATGTAAACAGGAAAAGTCGAAAGATCAGCTAAATGTATATGTCATTGAATACATTCAATGCTTATAACTTCTTGCTTTTGTATTTATAATTATAATACTGTCAGCCTGTGAAGCTGACATAGCAACAGGTCACGCTATGCAAGCTTTTAATATAATGATTTGCATTATTCAAATAGATACAGGTTTATTGGCATGGCATGACCAGTTGCCATGGTAGCTAGCTTGCCACTGAATACTGTACAAAATCATTCTATATATAAATGATAATACTTGAATGAATCATTTGACATGTAGAATTTAATAATAATTCCATATATAGAAATATTAAGTCAGTTTTTGTTCCAATTATCGTTTTAATGCAATATAGTCGGCCGGCCAAGGTGGCAAAAAGTGCCTCTAAAGAGAGTTTGATGGCAACTTTATGTTAGAAGCTGGTAACAGGCATTTTCTTATAGTTCAAGCCTTGGTGAATAAGACTGTGTGTGTTACCACTTCTGATTTTTGCTTTATAGCCAAAAATTTGGGAATTTTTAAATTTTGCCTATTAAATTGCTATGATCAGAAAAAATGTAAAATTTCGTGTTTTCTGATACGAAAAATAAACTATACCACTAGAAAGAGCGTAAAAAACTATATATAAGACAACTTAAGCGACTAGTGCGATTTTCAAGCCGATTTTGAATTAAAGATGGTTAAAGTTGGCAAAATGGGTACTAATTAGCATTAATTTGGTGCATTTTTTAACATTAAAAACTCGAAATAGGATTGGAAAAACGTAGAACTCACTTAATTGTCTTATATACAGTTTTTACGCTCTTTCTAGTGGTATAGTTTATTTTTCGTATAAGAGAACATGAAATTTTACATTTTTCCGATCATAGTAATTTAATAGGCAAAA